CACTTTAAAAAGTCTTTGAATTTTGTTTATACCGTCTCTCTCTACACCGGTGCTTGCTTGGGCTTGCGCAAGCGTGTGTGAAAACTAGGTAAAAACTGTCATACATCTTCTCTCTCTCTCTCTCTCTCTCTCTCTCTCTCTCGGGCTTCTCTCTCACAATATGCTGGATATCAAAATGAAAATTTTTAAGCTCCGTAACGCACTCCGGCCTCTAACGGGCTGCGCGCCTCCTTGAAAACTTTTTCTCTTTGAGACGAGAGCGCGACGTGTATGAGAATATCGTCGTGATCCCGAAGCTTGATCCATCAAAAATCCGAGAGTATGCATACGCGCGAAATATATAAAACATAATATCGCGCGTCACGCCTGCTGTAATAGACCCTAGAACAAGACGGACTACTGCTTCACGCACACACATATCGAAATCCAAAATTACACTCGTGCGAGAGGCGCAAAACAAGTTACTTCTCTTTTCAGGGAAAATTTCATCATATCGCACACGTATACACTACGAGAGACGCACAACACAATAGCTCCTTACCGCGAAATCAAAAGAGAAAACGAATAATAAAGAGAATACAAAGGCAACGAAGTAGAAGAAGAAGAAGTATAAGTATAAGAAGAAGCAGCATGAAAGAGATATATGTAGGAGCTATAGAGGAAAAAGCGAGGGAAAGTCTCGCATGTGCAGCAGCAGCAGCGGGTGGGAGAAAACGCGGCTATTCACACACGTGTGTTGACACGGGGCTGCATGTGCATCTAAGCGGTATCTTGGTCTACTTCTTCGGGGATATAACGTCGCCGACGACGACGACGACGACGTGGGAGCCCGGCCGCCTTTCACACTGCTGCTGCTCTCGCTCGCTCTCTCGAAAACCACAAAAGCTCATTAATCTTACGCGCGCCAAAGGCTAAATCGTGTGGCGGATGTCACGCAATGTGGATATGTATATAAGCGGCACACGAGTATACATTCAGAGCTTCGGGCGGGGAGTAGCTCTATGTGTATAGAGAGAGAGCTCCTTTTCGTGCCACACACACACACACACACAGCTACTCGCTCACCGCTTTTAAATCTATCAATATTGTCCTTTTCCTTAATCGATTTCTCCTCGCTCCTCGCGCTGCTGCTGCTGCTGCCTGTCAATCTCATCTTTAAATTCTCGTCCGTTTTCCGAACTCCCTAGCGAGCGAGTCTCAGAGATTTATTATGTATATAAAGTGTATATATATCGAGATGAAACATTTTTCAACGACAGCATAATTTTCTTCTGCCAACGCGTGCGAAAGTATACGATGCTAAATCCGTATAACTCAACGATTTAAAAAAATGAAAAAATAACGATAAAAAAACTTCTGATTCTTTTTCTCAATTAATAGCGTCCAAGTAGTATCACGAGCGCGCGCGCGCGAGCTCACCGTCGGACTGGCAGTTAAATGGAGTTACGGAGTTACTTTCTCGGTGACACAGCTCGCCGAGCAGCAGCCGTAGAGTTACTCATTTGATGATGTGGTCCGCGCAGCAGCAGCAAGCATCGCATCGCGTCGCAGCTGCTACTGCTGCGATTTATGAACTGTAACGACCTCGACGTATACGAGAGAGAGAGAGAGAGAGAGCTGTCTTAATATAGCCTCGGCAGCGCAAATTTTAAATGCTTCAATTATATACGATATCGGTTTAAAAAAAAATAGCTTTACCCTTATAAACGGATTTGTCGTTTTACTGAAAAATCAAAAGCTCGCGTATATCTACTTATTATTCGGGCCATCTTCGGTCTCCGCCGCCAGATGGCGAGTACCTTTCGCGCGTAAATCCGCAAGTGGCCAAGCCAAAACAATTGTATAAGTTGATTAGTGTCAGGACTGACAATTATAATTTGCGCATTTTCCGAAAAACTACGAAGTTCACGTCTTCGATGTAAAAATGCTCTTTCATAGTCCGACTACAGAAACGAGCTAAAAGTCGAACTTAAAAAAGTCGAACATTAATTTCCAAAATATCCTTCAAAATATGTACATGAGAAACGCGATTTAAAGAAAAACAATATAACGTCGCGTGAAACACTTTCTCGCGAGCTTGCGCGCGTAGAATAATATTATTGTTTCTCTTTCTCTTATACCCACGCGGCGGCGGCACGAGCTTTCCACGCGGCAGCAACGTCGTCGTCGTCGTCGGGGTTATAATTCTACGCACGGTTTTTTCCAATTACACCTTGGCACGAGTCGCTACCACTTCTTCTTCGTCTTCTTCATCCCAATTACTCACGAGAGCCCTTTACTGTCGCTAGTAGAGCTAGAGCAAAAGAGAGAGAGTGGCAACCTATAGAGGTGCCTCTCTCTCTTGCACTCGGGAAACGCGCGCGCGGGTAAGAGAGAAAGAGAGAGAGAGAGAGAGAGAGAGCGCTATTGATCGGAGGCCAAGCGGGGTCAGCCAACGAGTCGCTATATGACTCGAGCTGCTGCTGCTGCTGCTGCTGCTGCTGCTGTAAGTGTGAGTCTGTGTATTATGTACGTGTGTAGTCCAGCACACTCACTCGCACACACATTTTTCGTCTATGTGTCTGTGTGCATGTGTGAGCTTGTAGTTTGCACGTGCTGCTGTTGCTCGCGCTGCTAGCCCCCCCACTCACCCCCAATAAGAGAGAACTACCCCCGCACTCGCACATTCTACTTTAAAAAGAGCCCGCGCGCGCACGCGGACTCTCGCAGGATTTTTCATTCCTTCTGTATTTTTACTTTTACTTCGACGATAATGAAAAAGAAAAAAAAAGAAAGAATCTCTGATCGATGATCGATAACTGTAGGTGTGATCTTTGACATAGGGAATTTGGACGCTCCGGCGCGGATTAGCTTTGAATTCGGGGATGAATGCGAGAGAGAGAGAGCAGCAACGAGCGTCTGCAAATAATTGGACCAACTCGCTGGAACCTTTCATGTACTAGGGTTATATATATTATATATATATAAATGAAAACTGACCGCCATTTGACCTTCCACCCCATTCTCTCTTGCTCTCTCTCGGTGCAATTTACTCGCGCGGAATAATCATAAGGTAATACCTACTTCGTCAGGCCACTCAATTGAGCGTTAAAATTAGTTTTAATAGCTCGGGCAGGCGCGTGCTGCCGCTGCAAGCTCGTTTCTTTTTTTCTTTTTTTTTTTTAATGAAAAATTTCTCTTACGCCTCTCAACCATTCATTTTCGCCACCATGGGCTCGGTGGGTTGGTGAAAAAAAGAGAGAGAGATAGAGATAGAGAGGTAGGCAAAATTTACACGTAGATATCCCAGTAGCAGTAGCAATGTGCTGCAAAAATTCCCGAGCCAGCCCCCCCGAAAAAAGCGAACGAAAAACTCTGAGCTTTGAACATCTCTTTTGCTCTCTCTCTCTCTCTCTCTCTCTCTCTCGCTGCTGCTACTACATGTGCGTACGGTACATTGCTTTTTCTCGTTTTCTCGTGTGTTGCATACATAGGCATTAGTTTCTCACACTCTCTCTCTCTCTCACTGCGCTCTGCTGACTATTACGCGACTATACACACGCGGCGCGTATGGTGTGCGCTGTGTGCTGTATGCTGCTAGGGCGAGAGGGAAGCGAGATAACATCAACGGCGTTAACCAGCCAAAACTCGCCGCCCCCCGCTTCATCCTTAATATACGAGTATCGCGAGTACTTATGTGTGCACGCGTAAAATATATAGCGTAAAAAGCCCTATTTATGTTTACGAATTAACTAAGTATTCACATTCGCATTTATTTATTATTCTAGCTCGTGTGTGTGTGTAAGAGCGAGTTACCCACTTTTTTATTTCGACCCCACGCGCTCGCTCACTCGCTCGCTCCTTTGCACGTTTTTAACGCTCGCGCGCGATATTATTTAAATTACTCCTTCGTTGGCTGGCTGCTAGAGCGCTATATATACCATATAAGTGCGAGAGCTCGGGCTCTGATGTTTTATTATGTTTAAGAGGTTTAATTTATTAGGCTTTTTAAAAAGGTATTTTTGACGTTGCGTTGGGGATACTACTAAAACAATTTTAATTTTCTCACTCCCAACGCCGAAAAAAAAAAAAGAAAAAAATTGAAATTGTTGCAAAATTAATAGTCAACAAGCTGAAGGACGCGCCACAGAGAGAGGACTGTAGTAATAAGCGCAGACGCAAGGCCGGAGAAAGAAAAGATAAAGTTCGAGCATGCGGTGTAAGCGAAAATTCTTTGTGTGTAATGGCCGCATGTACGTATGACGATATATACCGTAAACATATTTTTGATAGCTTTTTGTAATTTTTGTTGTTTCTTACGTGTACCAAAAAAATGCTAATTTTTAAACGCGTCGAGCAGAAAATAACTTTTTTTTTCGTGTATAATACTTTGTTTGCTTCGAAGCGCTTTTAAAGAGGGTATAATGTACAATCGTTCAAGCCTCGGCAAACACACGGTGATTGTGCATTTTTCAATACCAAAACGCACGCAATACGTGTAATGTAAATTTTGCGCGCGACAAAGATTAAGAGTGCGGCGGGGGGTGGTAGTGGTGGTGGAGGTGCAAGAAAAAAAATCATTCACTTTATTACTTTATTTTTTCGCAATTATCTTTATCGTAGAGCGATCGAAAAACAACACGTCGTTGCCTCGTTGCGTCGAATCGATTAAACGCGTCTTTAAAAGTTTATCACGATATATAAATACAAAAGAGTCGCCGATGAATTACCGACGATTTCCGCTTTCGAATAATTTGTGCGCACACGGTTTATTTATCCGAGAACTTCGCCCCGATGCTTCGATGGCTCTCTCTTCCTTCTCTCGATCAAGTTAGCTTTTAACCCTCCTTTCCCCCCGCGCCTCGCTATATATGTATGTACGTTTTGTCCTTTTGTGTCTCTCGATCGGGAGGCGGCTCCTCCTCCTCCTTCTTCTTCTTGCTCGAGTAGACGACGAGACGTTTCGAGGGAAATCTTAGAAAATTATTTCGGACGAGTGGACATGAACATTGGTCACTTACCTCATTGGTATTCCATCGATGCCTTTGTGTAGGAAAATGCTCCGCACGCGGCAGCGTCTCCAAATTTTCTGGCAGCTTGATCGGATCTCCATCTACGGACATACCAGACGGGTCTTGGGTCATACAAAATACATAAATTCTATACAGCAAATAAATATCGATAAAAAATGCAACAGAGCTAGTATTATTCCGATCTATTTACTTTTTCTCTCTCTCCTTTTTCTTTTTGTTATTTATCATTATTGTTATGGAAATGACGCGATAATCGCGCGCACTGAAACAAATGTAAGTGTCAGAAAGTAGTAAGGACAGCTAAATTTGAAGTCGAGGAGGGGCGCGGCGGGAATGCGAAATAAAGTTCCAAATGAACCATACAGATAAAATTTATTTAATCGATAAAAAGTTATGACGGTATTTTCCCAAGGCGAATACGTTATTACAGAGAAACGCAAGCCCCACGGGCTGTGCGTGCACAAAAGGAACGGTCTTAGCAATGCCAAAACTTAACACATAGTAACTTTTTTTTTCTCCTCCCGCCCGACTTTTAACTTATTATTATTATTGCTATTACGTCGACTTTAATTCATGTTCGTGTAGAAGTAATACTTGAATGATTACAAGGTTCGATCGAATAATTAAAAAGAAAAAGTATACCACAGTGATTTAAATTAAAACGAATTAGTTGTATTTCTATTTCCGACGGAATTGACGATGAACGATTAAAATATCATTATGATGGTTAAAGTAATTATATAAAGCGAAATCACGTATAATTAAATCTTGAAAGTGCCATTAGAATAAACGCACGAGAGCAAATAAATAATAGATCATGTTCAAAGACAAAACCCTCGCGACGAATGTTGGTAGTAATAGCCTGGCTAATTTACTCGTGCATACGCGATTATCCGATTACGATTGACAATTCCAAAAGGTTCCATCTGAAAGGACTTTGATCTCAACAGATGTAATGTTCATTTAATCAGAGCCGATTACCAATTAAGATTAGAAAATGTGCACATACTTTATTACATCTGGGTCACTCCGTTATGTTTCGAAAAATCAGAAATGAAATCGTTACAAGCTGTATACACTTTATCAACGTAACAACGGAACAAAAGTCGTCCGGAGGCGCGCGCGAAGTTACAAAATTTTAATTTTTTACTTTTACTTCGGTATATTGTATCCCTTTCGAATTCTCGGTAAGGTGTATTAGCAAATTTCCAACTCCTAAAACTTTTGATTTTACTCCGGGTAAAGTGTTTTTTTTTTCTCTCTCTCACCCCCTTCAAGTTAAGCACGAAAGCACAGAATTTATCATAACAAAGTTAAAGCTCTTCTGTATATAGAACGAGAGAGAAATACTATGTGCCTGACGCGAGCTACTATATAGGCACTCGAGAAAGCACACACAACACGCGAACACAGACACACACACACACACAGAGTACAGCAGTAGCTGTATATAGAGCAAAGACACCCATATCTGGTACCGTAAATATTCTTCCTTCTCTCTTCGGTTCATTATCAATTCAAATGACCAAAACAAAGGCAAAAATACGTACGCCTGTACAGCTCTCGCGATGTCTATTCGGTAGGCTATACACACACGTATACGAAGGTATAGAAGGTGTACATTAACATCTGCACGTCAAAGGTGCATATAAACGTTGAGGATCGTTATACGAGGCGAATGACGGAGTAGAAAAATCGTAGACGTCGAGGGCGCGAGCATGTAAGCATCGGGGGAGGCGAAGGGGCGCTCGCTTACCAACGTGTTGTAACTCTGTATACATAACAGTGTAGCGTAGCGGAGTTGGCGTTCGTTAGAGCTCATTCCATCCACATCGAGTTCTCTCTCGGAGCTCGTCTATAATTTACATACCACCGTTTCATCAAGATTACTCTCTCTCTGCGATGTGTCGTGGTGGGATTCGCGCCGTGTGCTGTGCTGTGTGTAGCTCGTTAATCGGTACCGGGACAAATATCGGGATAGGATTTATACTTCGCTGCGAGAAAATGTGTCGCGTCGACGATGATGCCGTTTTTTTATGGTCGATCAGTGAAATTTTTTCCAATTCCGTCGGAATTTGTTTAAAAATCTCATCTACCTCCGTTTATATACAATCGGAAAGTAAAACAGAGATTTCGTTTCAATTTCGAACGTGTGACACATATTTTTTGTGCAGCTAAAAATATAATCATAATTTTGTATACCCCACGGAGAATACGATCCTTTACGTTTTCATTTTGTTGTAACAAAAAAAAGAGAGAGAGAAAGTTTCGCGAAAAGCTGCTTTTTTTGCGCGCGCGCGAATCGAAACTCCACTACAGTTTTACACCGAAGCCTAATTTAAAAAAAGCGGGTATCGTGCCCACAGACAATTTCCATCGTTTTTATTGGTATAATCTCCTTTCTCGCCCTCCGCGGCCCCCTGCACCCACCCATCCCTCGTCTGCCCGCGTGTCGTTCGCGGCAACTGCGAGGAATAACTTTTGATGCATTCGCATAAAGAAAAAAGAAAAAAATCACTGCCTCGATAAGATCAATTTACATTGGAGTTTCTTTGGTGTGGGGGGGTATATATACTTGGGTGCGAAGCACGTGTGTTCGAAGAAAGATCGATCGTTGTTGATGCAATTTTCATGATTCATCGTGCGAATCATTAATTTTCATTAAAGAAATGTAGCCTCAGCCACGCGCGCCGCCATATATATACTCCCAAGTAATTTTATCAACGTTTTAGCTAATTCGTACGGATCTCCGACCGAGATAAAGACCCAAACTCAATGAAAACATCCCAACCCTGCCCCTCGAGTTTAATACCTCGAAGAAAACTCCGAGATTGGAGATTAAAGAAAGAAAGAAGCGGAGTAAGAAGAAAAAAAGGAAGAGAAAAGAAAAGAGCGGAACTTACTCGGTGCTAAAGGCGTGGGATAAGACGCGTGATAAACAACGCGCTGGTGTCCAGACGCGTGGCCATGAAATCCAGCCATCTTGCTCGTCCGGTTCTTGTTATTATTATTATTGTTGTTGTTACGATGATGATTCGTGTTTTTTTTATCGTCGTCGGCACAGCCACTACTACCACTACCACTATCGCCAGCTGCAGCTCCCGCGCGTACGACGACCAGTCTATTGCAGTAACGACCTCTCATCAAAGCTAGATGTAGAGCCTCGCCGTCGTGGTCGTCCGTATCGCTGCTACTTGGAACCACGTGGGGCTCGATAAAACCAGCAGTGCTACCAAGAGGCTATCCGCTATCGCTCGCAGAGCTGCCTGAATTAAAATTATAGCGATCGTCGCTGCGGTCGACAGTCGACGGGCGATCGTCGCCGCCCGCGCAATTATCGTAATTGTCCTCGTGTAAGCCGCCGCTACAGCTAACGTTAATACCATCGCTTCGTTTAACGAAGCCGATGTACTTGTGCAGGCGAAAGTATTCGCCGATCGCGGATGACTGCTTGAATTTCGTCGTGATCGTCTTTGTGTCGTTGGCCCACTGACGACGAGCCACAACAGCATTGTTGTTGCCGCTGCTGCTGCCGCCGCCGCTGCCACCGCGTGGTATCGCAGACGACGCGGACGCGGACGACGACGATGACGGCGACCACGTGGCTACTGCTCGTTGTTTATTATTGCCGTTATTGTTATGACTCTCGGCAGTAGTGGTAGCTGCCAGTGTAACTGTTATTTTAAAAACGAGCCGAGGCCCTTATTTACGTCGCACTCGTGCGTAACTCTTGGATTAAAATCACGCGCGTTCGGTCGGTCTGACCAGTCTCTGATACTTATCACTTAAAACAAAGTATTCGTTGTGCTTATTCACTTTTCTCTTAATGTAGGCATTGGCATTTTCTTCATTTACTTTATTTTTTATTTAAACCGTGTGTGAGATGACTCGTGTACGTGGGGACCTCCACGTGTGTTTGGGCACTAAAGGCTTCAAAAAGGCACACCGCACTACCTTATTACCGAAGCGCACTGTTAAGACGCGATAATGCTGATTATCGAAGACTTGATTACTTATTATTTATTATTATTATTACTTTAAGTTTTGAAATAGAGTCAGAATTATAAGAGAGTTAAGTGAGATAGAGAGAGAAAAAAGGAGCAAGGAGTTTTAGGCTTTGAGAAATAGAGACACTGGGCTAAAAATTTTCTCGTGCTTTCTGATGCGTGTGCACCACGCGATACGTAGATGCGTTTTTTAGTCGCTCGCTCGCTGCTGCCGCTGTTTCTGCTACCCCACATCCGCGAAAAAACTCTCTTCTCTCTCTCTATATATGTGTCTTTTGAGCAGTGGAGCGAAGTCGAGAGTGTAAGGGAGAGAGAGCGAGAGAGAAGCAGATGAAAACTGGAACTATCACCGTAAACGGATTTTATTCACATAGACACACGCGCGCGTACGAGTCACTTATGTAACACACTTTTCTTTTTTCTTTCTTCTTCCTCCTCCTACGACTCCTCTACTTTTTTACTCGTACATCAGACGCGCGGATGTGCAGTCAGTGTATTTTGCGAAAAACACTTTTTTATCGAACTCGTGTGTATGTGTGTGCGGGCGGACAGGCTGCTGTCAGTCTCTCTCTTTCTTTTACATCCTTTTTCTTCCTTTTTCACTTTGTCTTCGGTCGTCGTCGTCGTCCTTGTTATTCCGTCTCTTCTTTCTCCTTGATTATTATTTACATGAAAAACAGGGAAGAAATCGCAAAGACAGAGAGGAAGGAGCTTTCGGAGCTTGCGAGTCGTCGATTCGTCAAGTTCTATTTATCACACAACAACAACAACCAAACGTCGTTGACGGAGATAGGCCTTCCGAGAGCGAGATTGATAGATAGAGTAGATACAAGTAGATATTATTTTGGTGTTAATCGTAATGTATATAAGGCCGCGCTCGCGCGACAGCGAGAGCAACAACGAAGTGAGATTATAGGAGTGAGAGATAGATAGAGAAGTGTGTCGTTTGACACAGCACAGTTGACAGATAGTAGTTGGATGTAAGTGACAGCTTTTCGGAGAACGAGAGAGAGATAGAGAAGTGACGTTGGATAGTAGTAGTATACACTAGTGGTATATAGACAGAATAAAGA